CTGTATTCCCAAATTTCGCATGACGACGAAATGAAACACCAGCTTTAAATATTTTGTTTTCTGTGGAAATGAAATACTAGTTGTATTAAATTAAATAAGATCCATTTCGAAAGCACACACTATATTAACATTAAAGTTTCTCTATCGAAACCTTTACATTCTTACAGAAATAAATAAAAAATATCCAAGAAAAAGTTGAATCTTTGAGATGGGCAACAAAAGACTATTGACTAGTGGGTCAAGCAGAGCTTATGGTAGTGAAAGTTACAGAGATCCTCTGTTAGAGAACCAGGTCTGTTTTTGAATAAAACCTTTCTTGTTTCTCACTTTCATGTCGATGATTGGTGCTTTTCTAAAGTTTCATGATCCATGGAAAGTTACATTTACATATTATGGAACTTGAGGCAATTTATCAGAAATTTCTTAATTTGGCAATCTGGCTTGGAAGATAATTGTTTTGACGGATTCTATTTGTATGCTTGATTACAATTTGGAAGTGAGTTTACAGGATTTAAAGCACTTGTTCGCGTGATGTGTGTTGGGCTCTCTCAAGCTCATGTCCAACTCCACCCGTTAATATGATATTGAACGCTTTGAATCATCATTGTCTAATCTTCCGATGTGGGACTAGGGTTGATATCCCAACTATGTGACTTGAAATTACAGCTATATTCGATGATTCTTGTTAGTGTTAATTTGAAGCATAGGGTTCACACTTGACAAGTGATCATTTAATTGGAAAAATTGGATTGTCCGAACAGATGAAATTTCCTTCAAAGTTTGATTCTTGAATCTGATTTGCTAGATTATGAGTTCTCATATTTAAGCATGAAAACTAGAAATGTGTTATCGAGAAATTCTTAGTTTGATTTGCTGATTTCCTAACAGTTAGATAGTTTGGTCATTCTTCTTTACTTTATGCAGGATATATCGAAAGCGAATGGAGAGCAGATAAGCGAAAATGGTCCAAATGATCTCGAGCATGGTGTAGTTGAGGTATTTGTTTGTGTTGTTTAACAGAAACTGTTCATATACAGAAGTGATATAATCTTATTTGGTTTTTCAGGCAGCAAATGTTGGATTTGGCAGAGTCTTTTCGTTGGTGAGTGATTCTTGGTTAGAAAAAAGTGTTTAGCATTCTTATATAAAGCTACGTCAATACTCAAATATTGTGGTTTCAGGCAAAGCCCGATACGGGAAAGCTAGTGATTGGTACCATTGCTTTATTGATAGCTTCAACAACTAATCTCCTCGTTGTATGTCTCATCTCTCAATCTTTGACTTCTTGTTTATTTTATATACCATCATTTTAGGAGTTAATTTCTGAAGTGTGCCAATATATCTCTTTTATTTAAATGAAATTTTATTTGATGCAGCCAAAATTTGGTGGAATGATTATAGACATAGCATCCAGAGATGCCAATACGCCTGAACAGCAAGCGGAATCCATCCGAGCTGTTAGAAACGCCGTACTAATCATCTTGCTTATCGTTGTAATCGGGTAATTAATTACATCTTCAAAATTCTTCCTTAGTCCTCCCTTTATTTATAGTGTTTTTGGTTTGGTCTAACTTAGAATTTTACTGTTTTATGTGGTTCTTTAGATCGTTATGCACGGCTTTGCGAGCGTGGCTATTTAATTCTGCCAGCGAAAGAGTTGTGGCCCGACTGAGAAAGGATTTGTTCAAACACCTAATGCATCAGGTAAAGAATTTACATAACAAATTTCTTAAGATTCACATAACATCCTTTATATGTTGCTTTTATTAGTTTGGTTAGTCATTTATGCATTGTCCCTGATTTTTGACTGCTAACAGGAAATAGCATTTTATGATGTCACGAAAACCGGAGAACTCTTAAGTAGACTATCCGAAGACACCCAAATAATTAAAAGTGCTGCTACTACAAATCTTTCTGAAGCTCTTCGTAATGTAACAACAGCGTTTATTGGTGTTGGTTTCATGTTTACATCATCTTGGAAATTAACATGTAAGATGCTTCTCTTTTTCTTTTTGGGATTTTCTGTATTAGTAGATGGAATAAATAGACTGACTCGTCTTCTTGATTTTTTAAGTGTTGGCACTAGTAGTAGTTCCGGTAATTTCAGTTGCTGTGATGCAGTTTGGTCGATATCTCCGTGAACTTTCACACACAACTCAATCAGCAGCTGCTGTTGCTGCATCAATTGCTGAGGTTATTTTTTCACATTTCTCATATGCTACTTATTGATGTTTTTCTCTGTTAGTGTTTGAACTAAATTTGGATCAATGTTTAGGAATCTTTTGGCGCAATCCGAACGGTTAGATCTTTTGCGAAAGAAAATTATATGGTATCACAATACTCCAAGAAAGTTGAAGAGACTTTGAAGCTAGGACTCAAACAAGCTGTGAGTTTTTTTTTTTTTTTGTGTGGCATAAACATTTCATAACATTAAACTTTCTGATGTATCTTTGAGAGTATCTGCTTTTTTGTTTGGGTGGTGCTTTAGGTACTTGACGGGATGTTCTTTGGAGGACTAAACGCAGCTTTCACATTCTCTGTTATTACGGTTGTTAGTTATGGAGCTTACTTAACAATAACTGGTTCTATGACCGTTGGAGCACTCACTTCCTTCATTCTTTATAGCCTCACAGGTTTCATTTGCATCCGTGATGTCATAGAATTTGCATTTTAGATGCAAA